TGGTGCCAAGAGAGTCATCATCTCTGCCCCCAGTGCAGATGCCCCTATGTTTGTTATGGGCGTCAACCATGAGAAATATGATAATTCCCTTAAAGTTGTCAGGTAAGGATATACATTTGTATGAGAAACATTAAGTTGATGACTTTTCTTTAGTGTGTGTGTGACCCAGAAGGAGCAGCCTTTAGTAATTTTAGATTATATAAAATTTTAAACTAAAATATAAACTTTGACTTGTTCTAAATTCCATTCAGAGTTCTTGATTTTAAATTTGTTGCTTGCCTGTTTTGGTTATAAATGTTTTGGACACTGTTTGGGTTTGTAATTTTACTTTGTCAATTTAAACTTGATTAACTTATACAAAACAAGTTACATTTGCATTACATATACAAATACTTTATGTATTTAAATTCAAAAATCAACTACTTTTATATATATTTTTTTAAATGACTGGCGTTTATATTTTGCTTGTTTAATATTTATTGCTTTGGGCATTATTAAATACTTTGGGCTTTTCTGTTAGTTTAAAGTTGCATAAATGCTTGGGTATTATAATAAAAATGTGTATACAGTAGTCAACATTTGAAGTGAATCAAAAGTTAAAGTGGTCTTAAGACAACAACTGGTATTGTTTTGGTTTTAGGACAACTTTGATAGGTTTTGATGGCGTGCCTGTGCGCATACTGTTATGCTGCAGAGATATGCAATAATGGATAATATCCTGTAGGGGGTGTACTGAAGCAAACAGTTGAACTCAAGCATGTTAAACCCAAACATTTGTCTTCCACTTGAATAAAGTCCCTGCTTTTCATCAAAATGATTCCCTTTTTGTGACAAATTCCCCCTGTCTGTGTTTACTAGCAATGCCTCCTGCACCACCAACTGCTTGGCTCCCTTGGCCAAGGTCATCAATGATAACTTTGTCATCATTGAAGGTCTTATGGTAAGCTTAAACCGCCTTTCCAATCTCGCCAAAAAGCCTTTTGACCTAAAAGTGATTTGAAACCTGACATGCGTCAATTTATTGTGTTCCACTTCTCCTTATCAAGCCCTACACTTGATTCTTATTGAAGTGCGTCAGTTGACGCAAACAAACGAGATGCACGTAGAGCTTTGGTTTTTTTAATCTTTCTCGTAACGTTAACCATCTCCCTCTTCCCCTTTTTCAGAGCACCGTTCATGCTATCACAGCCACACAAAAGACCGTGGATGGGCCCTCAGGAAAACTGTGGAGGGATGGCCGCGGTGCCAGCCAGAACATTATCCCTGCCTCCACTGGGGCTGCCAAGGCTGTGGGCAAAGTCATTCCTGAGCTCAATGGGTCAGTAACGCATCTGTTGGATTGTAGTTCCATTAATTTCCCAGAGTTAAATTCGATTTCCACGAAAGTGCTCAGCGTGCCATTTTAAAGGTCAGAGTTGAAGTGGTTTCAGGATGCACTGTGATGCATTAGTCAACATTTAAAGTGGGTCAAAGTTCAAAGATTTCCTAAGACAAGAATGCATTTTGGTTTTAGGATAACTTTGATGAAAGGTTTTGATCCATTTCAAATGTTGACTACTGTATTTACTCAATTTACCAAACCCAAATTACTTTTGGAATGTTCTGCTTGGGAGAACTTTAGGATTAGTTTCATTTTTGCTTCCCCTTTCTGCTGTCCAAACATACTCTGATACTTGTTGCTTCTCATTTCAGCAAGCTTACTGGTATGGCCTTCCGTGTCCCCACCCCCAATGTGTCTGTGGTGGATCTGACCGTCCGTCTTGAGAAACCTGTGAGTTTTTCCAGACCTGCATAAAGTGGCTTCAGTTGAATGAACTCCTACAGCAGGACTGATTCATTCGGTGTACCTCTGGGTGCAGTGTAGGTGACTTGACTGACCTGTTGGCTTTTTCATATCTCTCTTCTGCCAACTGCAGGCCAAGTATGATGATATCAAGAAAGTGGTTAAGGCTGCAGCTGATGGACCCATGAAAGGCATTCTGGGATACACCGAGGACCAGGTATGCACATCGAGTTATGTCAGTGTTGTGACCAGGGTTTCTCAGCATATTTTATAACTTCCTGCTGTGTGCAGGTGGCATCCACTGACTTCAATGGGGATGTGCGTTCATCCATCTTTGATGCCGGTGCTGGCATTGCCCTCAACGATCACTTTGTCAAGCTGGTCACATGGTAAGATGCTGCTCTCCCACCCCAATGTCACAACTCCTGTGTCCTCTAGAATTCAGAGCTTCCCCTTGTAAATGACTTCACTTGGTCCAACTATTTCCAACTCCACTTGAAAGACACAAGAAGGTTTTGGAGACTCTTGGCTTGTGTAGTTTTTGAATGACACATTCCTTCTCCCTTCCTATAGGTATGACAATGAGGTTGGTTACAGCAACCGTGTATGTGACCTGATGGCACACATGGCCTCCAAGGAGTAAATGTGATCCCCTTTTTGTGGTTTTGATGCGCGACCCACCGTTCTCCCATCTGGTTGGATGTTTGCACCACATGCCTGAAGGACATTACATGCTTGATTTGAAGACCAATGTTATTTTTATATGGAAATACTGTTCTGTTTTGTGAGGTTTAAAATGGATGTTGACTTCAAAAGGCTTTTGTCTGCTAACAACCTTTGACAGAATAAAGTCCTCTGTTTGTGAGAAATTGAAAGTATGTTTGTTTTTATCTAGATCTAGTGACGTATTTGGGTCGGACTGCTCTTCTTAAAATTGGAAATTAAGGCAAACCAGTGTTTTGATTGGTTTCCATAGATGATGTCATTATACAAGTTAATTCAGTTTAAGTTCAATTCATTGTTGGATTGATTAATATTGAGTTTTCATGTGCACTATTCTAATTATTTTAGAAGTGGTGTGGTTAATGTGTGCACACTGAAATGTTCCACAAAGCAAACGTTGATTTCAAATGAGTTAACTGTTGGACACTTCATGCACTTAACTGTCAATGCTTACGAATAAGTACAGTTATGCCTCACCAGTTTCAGGACTGCAGTGCCAAACCAGCAGTTATTGGGGTGGAGCAGTAAATTAGGGTGGAGATTCTATCCGGTGGAGTAGGGTCGTTAAGTTAGTGTTGTATGGAAACATAACCAAATATGAAATTCATACACTAGATAAGTAGCGAACACAATGCATACTGTAAGTGCATATTGTAGATAACTGAATTTCAACACAACCTGCACTTAGTGTGAAATCATGTGTTTTTGGAATAAGCTTGTCTAAATTAATGATCGTGTGCTTGATACAGTCACCGTATCAGTGCTTAAGGAGGAAAACATTTGAGGGCTGTTTTAACCAAAAACTATAAAGTTAATTCTTTAATATAGTTCCATGAAAGTAGGGAAGTCTGCACCACAGCTGGGTTGTTTTCCCCAGCTGATGAATGGAAAAAAATTGCCACCAATCAGAATCCAGTAAAAAGTCAAGTTGCAGGCAACAAAAATTCAGCCTATGCTTAAATGTTATAATTTGTTCTAGTGTGAAAGATAGTTATCGCTCTTGGTGTGAACAGCTTTACTGTAATTGTTGGAAAAGTCTACCGAGAGCCCATGCATTATGTCCTATAAAAACTCTTATCTAGAGCATGGAATTCTGGGAACATATGAATTACCCAGAGACAGGGCATGTTTTAAACTGCTTGTGTGCTGCTGTAAATTCAAACATAAGGTTTATAAATGTATAGGGCGAAACATGGAAAAAAAAAACTGGGTTCTGTTAACCCCCCATTTTAATTGTGAAAAGCCCTAATTAGTCAAATGACGTCACTGTTCATGAGAATATGAGTCAATACTTTGATAGTCCACTTTAGACATTCTACCATAAGTAACTTTGCAACTACTTGTCAACTACCAGTCATATTAGACTATCTGTGGAATATCTGCTAACACTTTATTTTGATGGTCTGCCAATAGAGATTCTACTGATTAAGAAACTTTGCAAGTGCATGTCAACTTATTCTGCTATCCGTAACCCGAAAGTCTACTTTTCTAATGAAAGTTAGTTGACATGCAGTTGTCAAGTCACTTAGTTGGTAGCATGTCTACGTAAAGTGGACTATCAAAATAAAGTGCAACCAAATATGATTTTATCACCGGGAAAGTTTCTGTTAGACATGATCTGCTTTTCAGTTAAATACAGTGTCCCTTTGAAACTGCTCTCATGCACTCATCTAAGCACTCTGTTGCATTCTCTTTTGCTCCCTGACTCACTCTTTTAGTTCAATACTCAGTCCATTTGTGGATCGGGGGTAGTTTTCCATGAATAATGCGCCCTGACATAGACATGCCATTATTTCACCTGATGGGCGTTTATGAAATATGTCTATCAGTGTTATTGATGTGCAAGTCAGAAGACCAATGGACATATTTCAACATTAATGCAATGCATTAGCAAGGCACAGATTTACCAGTGATGAGCATGGTGCTTTAGGCGAAAAAAAAGCATATGGACTGTATCACTCAAAAGTGCATCAAGATAGAGTTGACATTTTCTAAAATAATGCAATCTTAAAATGTTGTTTACGACGTTAGGTTCCAAACTATCATCTTATAACAAAATCAGTGTTGCATATGACTCATGGTTTAGCCTTAAAACATTAGATTTATGGCACAGCTTGTCCTTGTGCATTTACTGTATGTGTGTTTATGCATGCACTTTAAAGCTGTTCAATTCTGTTGATAAGAATGAGGACGAAGGATTAAGAGACTTGAGTTGTTTAGTTCAGATAGCGGTTGCACATTTACTCTTCCGTATACAACACTGACTTCCACCTCTCTCTCTTAAACACAGATTATGCCACTGTGCTTTATTAATCTTATAGCACCAACGAGTGCTGTCAGCTAAACCATTTGTTCATCTCACTAAAACATCATTTACGGCTCCCGTTGTCTATAAAAACTAACTTCGACTGTCCTCTAATCACAGAGGTGAAGTGTTAGGAGTGCAAAAAAGGGATGAGAGGAAGGTAGAGGTGTGCATAAAGAGGGAGGTGGGAGGTCAAAAGGATGGGAGGATGGGTTAGTGTGCATGAATCCTGATGGTCCTCTGGCAGATTGACCAAAGCCGAATTGATTCGCTCCTCCCGTATAAACAGAGAGCAACAGGAACAAAAGAGGCTTAAGGCTGAAAAGCAAGCATTTCACTTTGAGATTAAGAGACAGTGGCTGACTGAAAAGATGGAGAGATTAACACAGAAGAGGTGGACTGACAGTGGAAAGTGAGTGAAAAACTTTCACTTTGTTCTTTGCTCAGATGTGCCTCTGTGGCAATATTTCATTTGACACTCTCATTTAAAGCTGAATTGTACTTACGCAGCTGTATTTTTTTCCCATATAGGTTGGAATTTCATGCAAGTCCAACATAAGTATAGTTTTTTTTCTGGGTGTCGCAGCATTATGATGTCTCAGTCTGTCTCTTTTTTTAGTAGTTAATGTCTAAGCGAGTGAATGGCTCGTGGATGGGGTCTATCTCTGTCCCGTCCTCCATCCCTCATGCCTTCCACTCACAGCTCTCTTCGTCCGCTGACCTCAGCATAGCCATCTTACTCATCATCACAGGTCAGTTATTAGTCTTTTATAAAATTATTATTGTTTAATATATAGTGGAGTTCAGTGGGGTCCAAAATTTGAAAGACCACTACTGATTAAGAGATGCATTAAGTAGTAAAACTCAACATATATCAAGTTGTTTTTTGGGGGGGTCTGACATGGGAGTCTGCTCTGTTTATTCAGTCAACACTTGAACTGCAATAAGAGCCTATGCAATCTAAAGACACTTGTCCTCTACAATCAATACACTTCTGTGCTGATTTGCACAATAAATACAACTGCTATTACAGAGTCATTTAAAAACTGCAGTGCAGCAGGAGGTTCTCATATGCGTTGGTGTGTTTGACCAAATCAATATTTTTAGCTCCTTGCAAAAAAAAAAAAAAAAAAAAACCTTGGGTATAGAGCAAAAATTGCTCTAAAAAAAAAAAAAAATAAAACAAACAAACACTGGTTCATTGGTTGATAACTGACCTTACTATTAAATTACATTTAGGCTACTGTCATTTTTAATGGGACAATACATGTAATGTAATACAGTAAGAGTTATAATAAATATATTAAAACTATTACTGTAATAAAGTACAGGTATTGCCCCATTAAAAATGACAACGCATGTAATCTGCAGTAAGTTTTTAAAAGTTAAAAAAGAAATAGGCCTACTGTGTAATGTATGGTGAAATATATGTTGTTTTCAACAAAACTAAAAACTTAAGCAATCAGTCAATACTTTTAGCTCACTTACAATATTTTTAAGCTTACTGCAAAGAATGCTTAAAAAACTGTTATTTGAATGACTACAATTTATCTTGCTATTTAAAATACATATACATTTTGCTTTTAAAAGCAATGCAAAATTACATGCATTGTCATATATTTTTAATATTACAATTTTCCATTTAACATTTGATTTATAGTGATATACAGTGGCCAAAATTATTAGAACACTAGTACTTTCACCAGCTAAAAATGGGTTTAAGTCAATTATTTCTATCTTTTTACATTTCCAAACATGAATTTTGCCATTAATTGTAATAATCCAGTGAGATTTTTGTTTGCACAAGGAGTCTGACAACAGCCAGTGCTGCACACAGAGATCTGATCTCACCATCATCCAGTCTGTCTGGAATGACATGAAGAAACAGAACAAACTGAGACAGACTCAATCCAGAAGAACTGTGGCAACGTCTCCAAGACGCTTCAAGAAACCTACCTGCAAAGCTACCTGAAAAACTATGTGCAAGTAGACAAAAGCTGCTTTAAAGGCAAAGAATATGGTCATACCAAATGTTGATTTAATTTAGTTAATAGAAGTTAATTGATAAAGAAAATCTATTTAGCGCCTAAAACTTTTAACAGTACTGTATCACTTTGCAGGTAGGTTTCTTGAAGCATGTTGGAGACGTTGCGACAGTTCTTCTCGATTTAGTCTGTCTGTTATCTATTATATATAATTTAACACTTCTTAAGTAAATGCCAAAGTGAGTAACACTGTCTATATTTATGTTAGCCATTCATTAAAAAAATTATTAATACATTTTTTGGTCGTGTTAGATGACGCTTGGCACTATGATCTATATCTCTCTGTCTGTCCCAGGTGTGGTGTCGGTGGTTGGGAATGGGCTGGTGTTGTTGGTTTACGGTCAGAGGAGAAAGAAGCTCAGAGCGCACGAGTTGATGACCATCAATCTGGCCGTTTGTGATTTTGGCTACAGCCTGCTGGGGGCGCCATGTATCATCACCTCAAGGTACCACCACTGACTGCACTGACTGCAACTGGTTTGGAATGGACAGCGTATTTACTCATAGCGTGATTCTTAACATGTATTTTGAAAGGTTGTACCAAGTTTGCTTGGTATGCCAGTGTACATTATAAGCTATAAAAGCTATCTTAAAGCCTGCATTAGTCTATGCCACTGCATGCATCAGTCGCTCTTGTGATTATCGCTGCATATCATCTGGAGTTTGTGAATTGTTTGTCAATACCAGAGGATTGTGTCGGTTAAGAAGATCGACAGTCCGAGTATAAGCCGTTGATAATGATATTACATAACGTAGAACATAAACACAGGGTATATTAGAGATCTGATTTGTCTTTAGAGATGATTTAAAATTTAACAGGCATTTGGTCAAAATAGTTTAGATGTGCTCTTGAATCAATTTTGCTTTATTTTTATTTTTTTTAATTCATGTGCTTATACTGCTCTGAATGACAGAAATAGAATTTAGTGGAAAAAAGGAAACAAAAATCCTTTGAAATCTCAAGCCACTATATCTTTCATGGTATTTATTTAGAGTGCATTCTCAAGGGGCTAAAAGGGTTTCACTTTTATGTAGCTGAAAGTATTCTTTTTTTACCCACAAACCACCAAAACATGCCCTCAGGTGGAGGATGATTTGTGAAGAAGAAGAAATGCACTTGTGAAGAAAAACAACATAAATATCTTGGGCCTCTAACATCTTGGGTCAGAAGGTATAAAGCTATATAAAAAATCATCACACCTGGCTTTTTGGTTTCTGAACTTGTGTGTGTGTATATATATATATATATATATATATATATATGCCTATAAAAGATTAAATTGGTAAGGTTCAGTCTTATAGAAAATAAACTAAGAAAAAACTTGAGCAGAATTTGAGCATATGTTATTTAAGTTATTTTTGAATTTGCTGTGCTCAGTATTTTGCTTCTGCTCTGAACTGTTTTCTCTCTCTCTCTCTCTCTCTCTCTCTCTCTCTCTCTCCTACCTGTGTTTGGCTTTGGTAGTTACGGCCCGGAACCGTCTGGAACCAGCTGCACCATAAACTGGTAATGAACCGTAACCATTAGTAACACTTGTAAATGAGTCGCTAACCAATTCCCCAAAGATTAGTTGGTGTTTTCAGAGTGCATTCTCAAGGGACAAATATAGCGTTCACTTTCAAGCAGCTGAATGTTATTTTACCCACAAACCACTGGAACGTCCACACATCACAGATGTTGATGTGTTAATGCATTGTTTCCTGTGGCTTCAGGTGGAGAATGAAGTCTTCACTCAAGGATAGAGTCTATATTTACCTGATCCTTTCACTCTGCTTTGGAGTTCCAACCTTCATTATCATCACTTCATACCTCGCTATACTCATCAAGGTGAGAAACATTAGAATTAATAATGATTCTGAAACACTTAAAGCCAAGACGTGTGTAAAAATCATTTTGATTTATTCTGAGGATGATGTTAACGATCAATTGTTATTGGACTGTTTAATCCTAATGTTGGCTGAAGATCTATTATGGTGAATTGAAGGGTTGCTACAGTGTTGTGTGATTTCAGGTATATCGGTCTGGTCGCGTATTGGCTTCAATCCCTTCATCCAATGTCACTCACAACAGCAAAGATCTCCGGCTGACAAAGGTACCAGCTCTGATTGATCACCCATCATACCTTTGGAAAGGACCCACTTCTCAGACACAATGACTTTTAACATGGGATATCTTAGGGTGTTTTCACACTTGGTCCTTTTAAGAGGTCTGAGCATCGTTCGCTGGATTTGTGGCCAATATGTGAATACTCCAATTGGTCTCAGACCCTTTTAACGTGAATCAATGTAAAAAAAAAAAGTTAAAGTTAAGTAAAAATGGACAAAACCAGACTAAATTGAAAATACACATAAAAAATGAATAAAATAATCAGAATAAGACAATGGCTGCCCTGCTGTTACCTCCACACTACTATTCAATAATTTTTTATGATTCACAAACAATTTCTTATTTCCTTTTGGTTTCGTTGCAGATAGCAGCAGTGGTGTGTTCCTCATTTCTGATTGCCTGGACTCCCTATGTGATTGTTTCGCTCTACTCCGCTTTGACTGCCAGAGAGGAGCACACTGGAGAAGACGGAGGAACCGCTCTCACGGCTGGAGTGTCAGCAACAGGGGTCGGCCATGGCGGAGGGTTGTCTGACGTCTTTGGTTTTCCCTTCCTCATTAACTGGACCTCTTCAGAACACTTCGGGGATGCTTTTGGCTCCTGGAGGAATATGACTTCTGATCATTCCCATCATTCAGTAGGGCATCATGGATCAAGTTCAACTGTGGGTTCTGCACATGGAGGAATGAATGGACATCAATCACATCTTGTGTCCATCCTGAAGCCAGAGGTCTCACTCATTCCAGCAATTTTGGCCAAGTCACACTGCATGATAAACCCCTTCATCTACCAGATCATGAACCGTGACTTCAGGGAGGACGTCTATGATCTCCTGTGTCTGAGAGCAAAAGATGGAGAGAGGAGGAGAACAAGGAGCACCGACGGCAGTGATTCTGATGGTCAGGATCTATCTATCTATCTATCTACATTCTTAAAAATAAAGGTGCTTCACGGTGCCATAGAAGAACCTTTTTGTCTAAATGGTTCCATAAAGAACCTTTAACATCTGAAGAACCTTTCTGTTTCACAAAAGGTTCTTTGTGGCGAAAGAAGGTTCTTCAGATTATAAAAAGGTAAGAAAGAGATGGTTCTTTAAAGAACCTTTGACTGAATGGTTCTTTGTGGAACCAAAAATGGTTCTTCTATGGCATCGCTTGAAGAACCTTTTGAAGCACCTTTATTTTTAAGAGTCTATCTGTCTATCTGTCTATCTGTCTGTCTGTCTGTCTCTGTCTCTGTCTCTGTCTCTCTCTCTGTGTCAATACTTATATATTTTCGTTAATTTTATTTCTCTGTCTATATTTCTTCACGTTTCTTTCTCTGTCTCTATATATTCCACACATGCAGGGTATCGTGGAAGCGTCACTCTCTCTTATATTCACAGCTGGAGGAGAAGAAGCACACCTACCAGTCAGTCGTCTGGGGAGCGTGTGAAGAAAGATTCCTCACGGAAGAGTAGAGGTAGTAGAGGGAGCCGAGGGAGTAGAGGTCAGAGAGGGTCCTGTCAGGACAGTACAGCCGTCGGGTGGGCAACCTTGGATACTACAAACTTAGATACGCAGGCCAACTTAGAAAGAGAGAGAGGGAAGGAGGTGGAAAGAGAGACGAAAAAAGAATTTAGTGAACCCACCTCTAACAGCTTGTTGACGGGTGAAGAGTGATGCTTGCTGTCTAAATAGACAGCAACAGCATAGTTCATAATGCAGTTAGTTAGCTCAAAATATCTGTTGTTTTAGTAAAAAATAAATAAAAAAAAACTGTGTTTCTTTTTTCCATTAGTGTGATCCAGTGTGTGATTTTGCACCTATCCAGTCTCACACTGGTGCAACACATGAGGCTCTAGTTAGGATTTATTGATTTTGTCCTTTGTGTGTTTATAACTGGATCCTGTGTATTTATTTATTTATTAATATATATTGTGTATCTAGATATTTAATGGATTTACTTATAGCATTTATGTTTTTAAATATTTAGAGAGCACTATCCAGTACAAAGTATTTCAAACAACTATTTCTGAATAAATGTGAAATGTAAATAAAGTTTACAATAATGAAACGACTTTGATGTTTACTTTGCAGTTTCCAAATAGATTAAAAAAAATCCTAAATCAGAAGTCCTATGAGACCCAATGAAGTACAAGGGCTATTTGTTGCAGATCTGTGACGTCAGCGTTGCTTTGTTGTCATGATGCATGAGGTAATATCTTTTTACCGTAAGTACCATTCTTGGACAAACACACAAGGGGAAAAGCAGACGGAGAGCTGTTATTCGCCTTCGAACCGTGATAGATTATATATAAAAATAATTCTGCGCAAAGTCATCTACCAAATATTATTTTGCGCCACTGGAATATTCAAGTAAACAGACACAAACTGAGAGCTACTGCTGATATTACGGTAGTGTCCGCACTGAAGCGCTGCAGAGAGATTCGAGAGCGCAAGTGTATTCAGGTTTCCAGCCAGGGAACAAACGAGACATTCGTTTGGACCTATTTTAAATGTATTTCGCTGACGTTAGTAGTTATAATATTCTTTGCTTGTTTGAATAGGGGCTTTGCATGCTTTCATAGTCAGTCCATATTTTGCGCTTCTATCGGTTGCTGCAGTCTCCTTCAGCGTCTTACTCAGCATTTACGCGCAAGCTGTAATACTCTTAACTCGTAACATAAGGCTTTAACGAGTTAAATGTGGACATCGCCGTGTCTTTGGGTCGCCAAACACCACCTTTGAAATCAAGCCGTTAATTATTTTGAAAGTCAGACATAGCTGGTGTTCATGCCCGATCTGCAGCGCTTCAGTTTTCCGCACCATAGCATGAATTCTCCTCTCCATCAGCAGCAGCAGCAGCAGCAGCACCAACAGCATCAGAATCCAGAAGGACCCGGTCATCCCGATTCTCCCTCCGGTTTGCTCCCCGAGGCTGCTGTCCTCGGAGCTCCTGACCCATCCTCGTTTTTCCTCGGAGAACAACCAGGCCCGCAAACCGCACTTGACCTTACAGCATCCTCTTACCTGCACTTCAGTCCATCGCTCCACTGGTCCCAACCTCCTCCACCTACAGCCATGGCATTGAGGAACGACCTGGGATCCAATATAAGCGTCCTGAAGACCCTCAATCTGCGGTTCCGATGCTTTCTGGCTAAAGTGCATGAACTGGAGAGACGCAATAAGATATTGGAGTTACAGCTTCAGCAGGCTTTAGACAGCAATAAGACGAGTGGATGCGTGGAGGACGGAAAAACCAAAGAAATTGGTGTGCAGACTGGGTTTATTGGGCCTATCGCTGTCCGGCCTGGGTCTTTGTCCTTTCAAAACACCAATAACTCTGCTAAACGACCCACTACGTTGTTTATGCCTTCTCTTACGACTGTCCTCAAGCTTGAGCCCAATAAAGCTGACGATGAGAGCACAACTGACCCAAACACTAATAGGAACCCAACCATCACGGTTAGTCTCTCAACACCCACCACCGAACCCGCCTCGGCCAACACCAACAACTCCAATAATGCTCTGCATGTGAGCAGCGTTGGCACCGGGACGTCTCCCAACCCTCCTCCTCGCTTCCTGCCGGGCACTATCTGGTCCTACAATCACACCCGTAAACTGGGAAGCGGATCAGAGACTCGGGTCACCAGTCCTGGAGTGTCGTGGGTCCACCCGGATGGCGTGGGTGTCCAGATAGACACCATCACCCCAGAGATCAGAGCACTTTACAACGTCCTGGCCAAAATCAAAAGGGAGCGGGATGAGTACAAGCGAAGGTGAATATGGGGAATATAGATGCTTTTTATGGCTAAATGTTTGTTAATGAGAAAGAGGTTTCTGTTTTGGGCCCTTATGACAGGTCTCTGCTGCAAAACATCCTGCTTTTCAGGAGTGTTTCGAGAATCATGATGGATTTGAGACATGGTTGCTACAGTTTGAATGACCTCCTGAGATCTAGAAGCTGTTTTGTGTGTTTCTTGTTAATATATGATATAATTAGGGATGTTCAAATTCTAGTTGATACTGATAAGCTGATAATAGTTTGATGTTGTGGCTGAAAACTGATCATTAAAAAATATTAATTTGGTATAAATTAAAAAATTAAAAAAACACCAAAAACTAAAATATTGCTTAAATGCTACAAGTGAATTTAGGCATCACAACATTATCATGTACAATATGAAAAATGGATAATCATTTTCAGATTTGCTAAAGATATAATTTAATATATTATTTAATAGTGTTATTTAATTATTAGTGTTTTTGAAGATTAACATTTAGTAAGTGTTAGATAATGGCAAAGGTAATGTATGCTACCGTTCAAAAGTTATCAGAATGTTTTCTAAAGAATCATGTGACAATGAAAACTGCAGTAATTACTGCTGAAAATCCAGCTTTGTTATTAAATCTTAAATATATATTCAAATAATAAACAGTTCTTATAAATTGTAACAACATTTCACAATATTAATGTTTTTACTGTATTTTTGATCAAATAAATGCAGCCTTGGTGAGCATAAGAGACGTCTTTCAAAAACAATAAAAATATTTTCCAAACTTATTATTCTATACTAATTATTCCAAATTTTGGACCGTACTGTAAATGCAAAAATAAGGAGTTAGTAGGTAATAGTTGAACAACTAAACATTGAAAATATGACATGCAAATTTTAATTCAAACCTGTAATAATGATGATGATGATGGTGATTATAATAATTACAATAATAATGTTTAATAATATTTATAATAATGTTTAATAAAATAATAATAAAAAAACATAAAATATCAGATGTTCTTGCTTCCATCGAAGCTGCTCTATGAATCATTTTCTAATCATGCTGGAAAAACACACACACAAATGTATGGAGTTCATGCAGCTTGAGTACTGCTGTCATTAAATACCAGATACTCCTTTTTATTAAAATTCACTGAATTAGGAAATTGTCTTTGCTTGATAATTTAATTTGTAATAAAAATGTATTAGCATTTTCGCTATAGAGGATTTTTAGAGAGACTTTTTAACCCCATTATATATATATATATATATATTCAAATCTCAATGCCAAAGCCTTATTCCTGGATCTCAGGAGTTTAAGACACCTGCACACTGGGTTATTTCAGTATGTTCCAATGCGCTGTCTGCTCTTCTGCTGCTGAGGGTGTCTGACTCACTCTGCCCTCTGATAACCTGTGCATCAGTCACGAACATCCCTGCTTTAACGCAGAGCAGACTGCAGTCACTGCCTCACATGAGTGGTTACTTTTCAAACCTGAAAAAGGCTCGACCCTGCAGGTGTTCAAGACAACAACAAAGTGGTCACGAGAGTGGAATCTGTTAAAAAAAGAGAATGAGTTGTGACTTGCAGCTTTTGTGGGATAAAATAGAGCATAAATCATTCTGTTGTTCCTCATCTGCTGTTAATCGTGTGCAGAGACATGAAGTAGGGCCTATATATTTCTAACGGCTGCTTTAGTTATTTGAATCAAACTGACGTTTTTGAATGGAGTATTGCAAAATCTATGGGATAAATGTGCTCTTAGTAGAACTGTGAAGGTGATATGAGGAGGTTTTTAGGAAGGGTGGAGACAGATGTGCGGTAACATATACCCAAGGCTTTTATTAATATCACCAAGCTAGAGTTGAACATGAGAAGCAAAAGCACGGAAGATCATATGTACAGTATGTAGAAGATAAGAATCAGCTGGAGGGGAAATAATGGTCGCGTTTCTCATAAATGGTGGTATTCAGTCAGTCTCACAGCTCTTTATGTCCAGACCTGCAGCAGCCGGAGCGCCTGCACATTCTGCTGTCAGTCACGTACAGCAGCTTTATTTAGGGCTGAGCGGACCGTCAGTTCGCAAACTCATTACTGTCTGTTGACTCATCAGGACAGGTAAAAAACACTGTTGAAAAGCAGAAAAGTCATTTGGGTTCTCTGTCTTAAACCCTTCTGCTTCATAACAGATGTTATCGTGCATCTCTCCGTCTGACTTCTTCACCATTTGCTCTGGTTTCAGCTCTTCTCAGACTTTCTTTTCTCTATTTCTTTTCTGTTTTGGCTTTCTTATTTAGTAAGCGTTCTTTTGCTGTCTCATCCTCGAAAGGGTTTTTCTATCTATCTATGATATAGCTAAAAAATATATATATATCAAATTTTAGCTTTTTCAATGCTTTTAAAAGAAGTCTTTTAAGATGACCAAGGATGCATTTTATGATTAAAAATACAGTAAATATTTTTATTGTAATACTGTGGAATAGTATTAGAATTTAATATCAATGTTGTCTATTTTAATATATTTTAAATGTAATTTATTTCTGTATTGGCAAAGCTGAATTTTCAGCTTCCATTACTTAAATCTTTAGTGTTCCTTCAAAAATCAATCCACTGTAATATGATTTGTTGCTTAAGAAACATTTCGTATTATTATTAGTGTTTAAAACTGTGCTGCTTAAATTTTTTTTTTTTTTTTTTTGCCATACTTTTTTTTCAGGATGCTATAAATATAAAGTACAGTAGAAAAATAAAAAGTAGTAGGAAGCTCAAAAGAACAGCATTTATTTCAAATAGAAATCCTGTGTGACATTATAAATGTCTTTACTGTCTCCTTTGATCCATTGTTTTGATCAGTTTTGCCGAATAAAAGTAATCATTTTAAACTTTTGAACACCATGAGGCCAACATTATGTAGACACCCCTTTCTAAAAACTGAATTCAGCTTTGTTGCAACAGTTTTGTAAAGGTCTTTTCTGTTCCAAAACAACCTATGCAGCAAAGTCCATAAAGAAATTGTTGACCAAGTCTGTTGTGACTTAGTATCCTAATTGAACACCTTTGGGATGAATTGGTAAATCAGGTCCTTTCTCTCAACATCAGTACCTTACCTCCCTGATGCTCTTTTGTCTTCTTAAACATTTAATTTGAAAAGTGTGGCAAACAGTATTAATCCCCTCTTTGCTGCTGTAACAGCTTCCTCTCTTCAGAGACGGATTTACACTAGATGTTGAAACAGGGATGC